GTGTACAACAATAAACGGACGCGTGGGGCTTTAGCAGACGGGGGCCTGGAAATGACAAACCCGAAAATAGCTTGGGAGTCGAAGTGGGCAAGTAAGACGAAGAGCTTGAAAGCCCTCCGAGGGGGGTAGGGTTGTTGATATTGACCAATTCCAGATGTTGCAAAAGGAAATCCTAGAGGGGGGGGGGGGGGGGGGGTGATGTATGTCGACAATCGCCACGAAGCAGGGAAAATTATTCGCACCGGGGAGGGGTGGAAGGAAACAAGGAGAGAGAGAGCTGAGTGTGTTGATAGTCGGACATCCAACAGGAGGAGGACAGGGGGGGGAAGAGGAGAATAAAAATGCCAAATTTGAGGAACTGGGGTTTCGTACCGTCTACATGCCATGCATGCTTAAACCCCGCCCCGTTCACGCACCCCACTCGTTGTGCTTTACTTTCAACACACTATCTTTTTTTTCTTCTCACATCCTTGATAACCGTAGTCGGCTTGGACCCGTCCATGGACGTGTCCCAGAAGAGGAGTTGTCTGTCGTCGCCAACCGAGCCTAGCAGCTTCGGGTTCTGCTGGTGCCATGCCACGTCTCCCACCACCGAAGTATGCCCCTCTGCTCCGTCGTTATCGTCGTTGTGTGGTGTTTCGGAACAAAAAAAAGTGCAAGGTTCGTTCGGGCAGAAACGAAGAAAAAAGACCCGGTGGGAGTGAGGGAAGGAGGTACAGCAGTACGGCACGTCGCCCGGCCATGGCAGGTGGCGGTTCTCAAGTATCGTTGGCGTTGTTTCTTGTTGCTGCTGCAGCAGCAGCGTGTCTGTCTTCTTTGTTTCCGTCGTTTGTATTCTTGTTCCTAGTCGTGCTAGGTCATCCCCGAATGCATGGTCATCAGACACAGGGGAGCCCTTTGGACACAAATTTAGCACTCCCCCACCCAGGTCGATGGGGGTGAGCACTAGTAGGTACACCACAGGTAGCGTAGCCCTACTGCGCGCTGCCATCCCAAGCATCACCCCCACTCCCTCCCGCTCGCCCTCCACGGCCCTCGTCGCCAACTATTCCCGATCGACCCCAACCATGAATGTTGTGGCCGGGAAGTCGCCTTTGGCTCATCCTCTCGATGACGTCGTTGTGGCTGCTGTTGCGTCCATCATCACCGAAGGAAAGGGATACCTGCTCCCCCCCCCAACCCCCCTAGCGAGTCAAAAACTCAAAAACTATCACAAACATCAAGTCGTCATCTCTAAAACTTTCCCCATGACAGCAGCCCCCCACAAAAATCAAGGCAAAGGCGATCACATCACGAGCCCCCCTCCCCCCCCCCAAGCTCCTGCGCCATCCTTCTTCCCCCCTCTTTCCTGTCACAGCAGTATCAACCAAACCCACTCCTCCCCTCCCCTCCAAACCAACCAAACATTTTACTACCCACCACTCGCAACCCTTGCTACACAATGACCCTTCATAAAACTACCGCACATCTGTCACCGCCCTTCATCCTCACCGAATTTTTGAGTCGCGTCTACGGTCTGGCCCGCCCCCTTGATGTCCCAGTAGCACACCAGCCCGTCGTCGCTCCCGGACAGCAGGCGGCCCTCCACGTGCGGGTTCCAGCTGAGGCCGTAGCCCTCCTTGGTGTGGCCCTTGCATCGGTGCTCCGGTCGGCACCTTTTCAAAACGTTAATGTTGACACGAAAACAAACGAGATACAAAACACAGCTATGTCTATAGTGTTGATACATAGTGTCGACACAAAAAAGGTTGATATTTAACATGCTGTGAAGCTTAAACGAAGAGGTATACACCTGTGCGTTCGAGCTATATGTGCACATTCCCACATGTACTTTTCTGTGCCGTCGGTCAAAGCGCGCCTTTGATGGCTTCACGGGAGCAACGTCATAGCTCGCTGACGGTCGGAATCTCATGACCTTCACATGTGTTGGTTGGAATCCCGATTCCTTCTTGGTTGAGAACCCCAACAGATGGGATAACGCAGGACATTAGTTCATTGCTAGCGTAGGAATCTGAATTTCACGGAGTAATCTACATGCACCATTGTGGTTCTATTGTTTCGTTCTCTCTCACCCGCTGTTGGACGGGGGTACGCTGGGGTGCTTGGAGATGTCGAACACGCACACGTCCGCCGAGGGGGACTTGGTGGCGATCACGAACTCGTTCTGCGGCATGTAGCGCGCGCGGTTCACCTCCCCGTCATGGTTGATCTTCACCGTGATGTCAACCTGGGGAGGGGGGGGGGGGTCAACACCAAAAAACAGGAGCATGGAATGAGGGTCGCTTACAGAAGTCAGTGCGTCGTAACAAATGTTTGTTCTGGGGGTGCACCGCGCGAGGGAGAGTGAGTATAGGAATCGGTCTATATGCTGGTGCTGGTGCTGGTGCTGGTGCTGCTGCCAATGCATGCTACTGAATCCTCCCCCCCCCTCCCC